TCACGCCCCAGACCGACTCCGCTTGCATTCACGTGATTTGTTGAGATGAGAGGCGGGATCAATCAAATATAAAGGGAAGCCGGCGCATCCTGACCGCATCATGTGTTTAGGGAATATTGGCATTTATTTACATGCGATTTGATTAGCTAGTCATAGTGGACTGTCATGATTTTGGCTAATGCAGGACTATGAATGATGCACATCAGAGGGGATTTAGAAGTGGGTATACACAAAGCCGACTGATAAAGAAGTGGGTATACGCCGTATACCTGTGTATACCCTCCACTACACCACTGGTCTGGTCTGATTTAGGGAAAGAAGGAAAAGAAAAATTGTGTAGTAAATCAGCTCAAAAGGGAAATATTTATGACTAATTATAACTGGTTATGATTAATAATAAATATTTAGATTAGATCTTAGAATTAACTGTAGCAGAATCAATATTACAATTATTTGATCTGTCCGTCCACCGAGCAGACAATATAATCATTTATCAATTCAAGGAACGATTATTTTCCTGGCCACGGAAGAATAACTGTCCTTCTTTATGCAGTGCTAGCAGTAATTTAACATATGTAGCAAGGGTTAAAACTCCGCATTTGAACAGTCAATAGCAAATACTTAAACTCCTCCGCTTGTAACACTCCAAAGAGAAAGGAAAACTTGAAATCGCATCATATGACCCCTTTAAGCCATAAACCCCAAAGACCATCCATGATTTTACGCAGACGCTACAATTGTTTAGAGCTATGCCAAAGTAATTAGTTGAAGAAATATTGAGATACTTTAGTAAACTACTTTTAGTAACTACCAATACCATATTGGGAAAAAGCTACTAGTCATATTTATAACCTTAGCTAAAGGGATAGTTCACCTAAAAATGAAAATTCCAAACCTGGAACAACTTGAGGGTGAGTAAATGATTACAGAATTTTCATTTTTGGGTGAACTATCCTTTAAGTAAAAGTATTATCTTGCATACATGAATATACTTAAGGTATTGAGAGCAAAAGTAAAGGTATGCACAGTATTGTTCTGAAAAATAATTAGTCAGGATGGTTTTACATTAACAGTACTGCTGCACTAATGTGTATGTTGCATTTTACTTCTGAATTATGTTCAAGGTTATTAAATGTAATGTTGCCTACTAAATATACTGTTGGGTAGTTTAATCTACAACAATGCATCATGTTGTAAAATACCATATTTTTATAGTGTTACTGTCTGAGAGAATAAAAGAAAACTTAGTACTTCATATTTGTTTGAGAATACTTAACGAATGTACTTCCTTAAAGTCCACCTCTGATTATTTTGAAAATGAAAGTATCAACATTTTGTCAGAATATTAACACATTTTGCTAACTTTATCAAAGGCTGCATCTGAAGGACTCAGACCGGTCAAACAGAGCACTGTTCAGTTGTGACAGCTGCCGCTGAACAGTGAGCTGTACAATGCTCTTTTTTTATTCACAGTTTTATGTTTGCTAACCTTTCTACATATAATCACCATGGTCAAGACAATAAACTATATAAAATTGCACCTTTGTAAGATATCAGTCAGTATTTGAATTGCTATGTGTGTGTATGTGTGTGTATTTTGTAGTTTTTCATATGTATCATTACATTATTCAAGTAAGCTCCAAGCCAATTCCTGCATTTAAAGTTGTAATCTGACAAAGGACGCATCATATCAGTGTAACCTACCTGGCCTCGGTCTTGGCTAAGCCTGAGGTACATCACTGTCTCCTCCATTATGAAGTAAAACATTAAAAAAAGAGCAATTCTGGCTCCACCTATCCTGGCAGGATTGTCCTCTCGTCAGCTCTCCTCTCGCACCGTTGCTATGCGAACCTCTGGTGTCACAATTAGGAAATCCTGCGAAGGCAGAGCGTCCTTCATGCACTTCGGAGGCGTGGCCTTCGAAGTCCGTGCCCTTCGAAGTGTGTGCACTTAACTTTGGGACACAGCTGCAGTCAACCTACTTAGAGTCGATTGAACTAACTCAATTCAGAATCAGAATCAGAATCAGAATTAGAAGAGCTTTATTACCAAGTATGTTTACACACACAAGGAATTTGACTTGACGACAGGAGCTTCCAGTGTAGAAGAAAGTACAAACATAGTGCAGACATACATGATAGTGCAGACATACATAGGAATAACACAGTAGGGATGTGATATAACACTAATATAATAAAAAAAAGAAAAATTGAATAATGTACTATATACAGAAATAGAAGTATAGGAACAAAAGTAATTATCATTATTAAATGATAAGAATGTCCTGGTAGGAATGCACATATCTTCACATAAACTGATATATGAAGTTACAGTCTCTGTGAGCTCATCCAGATCGGTGGCTGCAGCTTTAAAAACACTCCAATCAGTGAGGTTGAAACAGGCTTTTAAATCACGCTCTGCTTCATTAGTACATCTTTTAACAGTCCTTAAAACAGGTTTAGCTGATTTCAGTTTCTGCCTGTAGGTCGGTATAAGATGAACCAAACAGTGATCAGAGAGCCCCAAAGCTGCTCATGGGACAGAGTGATATGCATCCTTTATTGCTGTGTAACAGTGATCCAATATATTGCTGTCTCTGGTTCTTCTGCATCTGCACGCGCGTTTGAACAACACAGCTGTACCTCCGACTAGAATGTCCAACAAAACGTCAGAATAATCAAAGACCGGAAAAATATTGTCTGGGATGTGCTGCTTAATGTTAAGGAGTTCGTCTCTGGTAAAACTTATAGAAGAAGAATGACAAAACACAGAACAAACAAACAAAAACAATAGAAGAATCGCAGAGCTCAGCGTCCTGGCTGCCATTTGCGACGCCATCGTGTCGCCAATTCAGCTGTTATGAACCCGAAAACTCAGAGTTTCCCATCTCAGGGTAAGTCAACTCTGAGTTCAAGTTTCAACTCAGAGTTGTTTGAACCTCATTATTGAAACGGGCCCCAGTTTGCCTGTGTTCCCTTGTTTGTTTCTATGGTCTTTGATTTGTTAATTAGTTCCACACACCTGTTCTTGTTCTTTTTCTCCTTAATTGCCCTGTCCTTGTATTTAAGGCCTGTCTATTCCTCTGTTCATTGTCTGCTATTATTTGTGTTTGGATTGATTTTTCTCATGGATTTATTATTAAAATTCCCCTTTGGATTATACTCCTTCGCCGTGCGCTTT